TTTATATTTATTTTTATTTACTGAGGATTCCATGTAGTCTTTTATTTCTCTAATTTCATTCTGAAAATTTTTCAAGTCACTTCAGGTTTGAAACGAGCTTTCAGGTTTTTCGAAATAAGTTGAATTTATTCTGAAACGGTAGCAGTCTTCCCATTTTTAGCATTCAAAACATTTAAAGATTGTAAGATTTAAAGATTGTAACATTTAAAGATTTACGACTGTTTCCCTGACTTTTGCAAGAATAGCAATACCAATTTTTTTCTGGATTTGTGTCTCGAAATTCTAATGTCCAGGCCACTGCATTGTACATAGAGTGATTTTTTACATGGACCGTCGCAAGAATTAACTTATAAGTGCTTAAATTAATTTATTTTGAATTATACGCACAATTGTTATAGTTTGACATCTTGACAAATTATAGTTTGACACCTTAACATCTTGAAAAATTAATTCACATTTTTTCAAATAAAGTGTTTTGTATTTCAATCTTTTCTCGCTATCCCAATTAAATACTAAACTACATAGAGTTTTAAATGCGCATAGTAGAGGCACAAAAATTATAATAAATTTTGCAAAAGACCATTACTTGCAATGTTACGTAACAACTTTGACGTAAGATATTGTAAAAGTTTTATGTGTTAAGCCTTCGGATACAGTTTAAAAGAGGAATTAAAACACTTTACAATATGCCCGCCCACCACAATGTGAAATTTAATAATAAAGTCGCGTACAATTCATGCACTTCCATGATAAAATTAATGCAATATGGCAATCTTAAAATTTCATTTACACTTCATATATACAAAATTCGAGCTTTTTTAAGCTCATTAGTGAATGAGAAAATGAGGGTGAAATACTTATTATTGCAGAAAAAAAAAACAGAAAAAAAAAACAAAACTTCTCTAAGGGAAATGCAAAATAAAAAAACAAATTTCTTTTTTCCTTTCCATACAATTTTTAAATTTCGTTGTATTTTTTAAAGCAAATATTAAATAATAATTTATTCTATGATTTTCACATTTAAAATACTCAGAAAAAAAAACTTATGGCTATCTTTTTAAAGTTTACGTTGCGATTTCTGTTTTTGGTTTCTTCCATTTTTTTTTCTGATTTTTAACTATGAAAATATTTATTATTTAAAACCCTTGGTTATTACCAATGTTAAGTATGAATGAAATCTTTTATTTAAAAATTTTCGATCTTTGCATAACATAAGGCAGGCGAATGAAGTAAGAGAGCGAATGACAAATAAAATAAAATAAAAAGTTAAAAATTTCTTTCTACAAATATTTTGAATACAGTTAAATTGAATTATTTTGCAAATAACGGTAAGGTAAAAATTTATTTTTTTTTGTGTTTTTTTTTTTAAATAATTTATGTTTAATAATTTGGAAAAAAAAATGATATTTGCTATTAAAACACAAATAAATCACAATTATATTCAAAATTTTTTAAGAAAAATTAGTAAGGAAGCTAATCGAGGTTTTTAGCGGGCTTAAACCATGTTGTCTTCCAAACTATTAAAATTACTATTAAGGAACGAATTGCCTTTAATTTTAGAACGATTTAAGATATATACATAGGTGTTCATAGATAATATATATTAAAAAATTTGAGCACGAATGGCAGCAGTAATTTTGACTTGAATATGTCACAAATTTAAAACTCAATTTCAATAGTATACTTTTGACTCTTCGATGTTCCTGCATAGACTGTCAAACAACCAATATAGTATTGCTGAATAATATTATTGAATAACATTAGTACAATAATTTTATATTCTTGATAATAAGGAAATTTCATATTAGAATTTCAAGGTTATGTTTATCAAATTTTTTATTTCTTTTTAATTAGAAATTTCAAATTTTTAATAAGTCATATTAGATAGCAATTTTCAAAAAAATCATAAATCATTTGAATTTTCAATAGATTTACTTAAACAGTAATTTTTTTGTGTTGGCTAAATGATTATAATAAAGAAAAAAAAACAAGATCGTTGTATTATATTGATTTAGAAAACGGGATCTAAAAACACAAGGTTTATATATTAAACGCTAATATTAAGTAAGTACGAATGTATGTAAATGTATTACTATGTACGTAATATGATGACGACATTAAATAAATAAAAAAAATTGAAAAACATATGAAAATAAATTTGAAAAGTAGTAAAATTTATTGAGTGTATTGTGATTTATTGCATTTCATGAAAAAATTTCAGCAACATTTTTACTTTTGTACAAATATTTATTAATAATAATTATAGGAAGAAGCATAATATAAAATAGAGAGAAAAATTTAAAGTAAATGTATATTCATAATTTTTTGGTATAAGCTTTTAAAGAGTGGGACATTCAAATTGATTAGTTTTTTTTTTTTTGAATTAGTCACAATATTTTTGTAATGAAGTGTTAAAATTCAGTTAATCGAACTCAAATTATGAGTTGTTTTAGCTTCACTTAGCTAAAAACTGAGTGAGGTTTAGAAATGCTATTACAGTTCTATACGATAGAGCATTACAATTATATTTCGATGGCCCATCTAATTGCTATGTATAAAAATTATTATCACATTTCTACCATATAATTATATACGCAAGTATATAAAATAAAAAAAAATCTAACGTAGTTAACATATTACCGTATGCAAAGTGTATATTCTGGTTTGATGACAGTGTTGCACAATGTTACTTACATATACTTAAAATTTGAAGGAATTGTCCTTTTAAATATTTCCTTCAAATTTTAAATATACAAGTATGATTTTAATTAGCATGTTTACAAAAAACTGGAAATATGGCTCTTAGAAGAGTTTTACCTTGTGCTATCTGAAGAGTTCCCCAGAAAATTCCGTTAGTTAACAGAATTCAAATTGGACTGGCAAAAATTTTATTTGGCTTTTAGCAAACGTTCTATTCCCTAGATCAGTAAAGACATAGATAAGTTTTCTATTTCCACAAAATAGTATAATTACACTTACGCTACCATAGAAAAACGCATTTCCGCCGAAAACTCAACCTGCGAAATTTGATAATAGCACAGGACTTCTCTTTCTACATCCATTTAGTTCGGTAAAATAACAACATTGCAATCGAAGTATAAAAAGACAGAAAAAAAAAACAAAAACACAAAAATTATTTCCTAACAAAATGTAAACACTATTTCACCGTTAATAGTGTGAGGTATTTCTTTCATATTGGATTAAGATGAATGTTTGATAATATTATTTTTTATATATGTACGTGGTGGTAGCAATGAATATTTGCACGAATATTTGAATTAAAGTAAATTCGAAAATAAAATTAGAAAAATACAAGCATTTTTAATAAAAATTTAATTTACAAAACAAATATTACGTATAAATGATTGTGAGTATGTATGTATGTGTTATAATAATCCACCCGCAAAAATTTTAACAAAAATTTTTTCTTTACACACAAAATATTTTTTTAATATTTAATGGCGAAAATGAATTTATTTTGATAATTAACAAGAGGATAAGGTAATGATTATCATATAGTATTAACTTTAATTTTATTTGGAGAAAATCAATTGAAAAATGCCTTGAACATTTTGTTTATATATATATGCTATATATCTATATTTTATTTTCAATATTACGAGTATATACAATTAATTTTAATATAATATTATTTTCAATCACACGTTTTCTTTTCTAAATCCTAAAGAAAACCATTCATGACAGAGACGTTCGTGTTAATTCTAAAATACATTCTGCAAATTTGAAGTACCAATTTGAAATAAAAGACGGACAAATATGGTCAGATCGATTAAGAATTTGATTTTAAGCAAGAATATACACTCGCACTTCGAAAGTATGGAAATGCTTCCTCTTTTTCTTCTGTAATACGTCAGTCACACCAATTTAAATAGAATATATTTTAAAATGTTAAACACTCGCCTCGAAGCATGCAATTTTTAGAATTTTGTGTAGAATTGAAAAAATTAATTGCTATATTCTTATGTGTCATTTAGAAGCTATATTAAATGTAAATAAATAAATTATTAAAATTGGTTGATATTTAGTCCATTTGCTATAAATTTTGGTCGATAAAAAATTATAAGTATTTTGGCTAACGATAGCTAATTTTCAAAATTTTTTAATTTTAATCCAAAATGAAATATTTTTTCGTATTTCATTGTAGTTTAAAGTTAATAAATTCAATTTAATTATTAATATTAAAAGGTTAATAATTTAAATTTTAATATTTATAAGAAATTTGTGGAAGTATTTCAAATTATTACAACATAAAGGGACTTTAATTAAATCATAATTAGGTCAATTTTCTGACATTTCTTTCAACAGATAATGTGCAAGTTCTCATTTTGTTTAAAAATCTATACGTACAATATTAAATATTAGATATAACGCCTTCCACTTAATTGATTTGTATACTACTGGTGTACATGTATATATATAATTAATTTATTACATAAAGAGAGATTCGAGTAAAAAATTTCAATACAATAAATTATTATATTTCACCTTATTTCTATTCTCTTTAAACTATACAAAATTTCAATTTATATAATTAAAATATCTTAATAAAAGTATTCGTATATGCGTGTTTAAGACTATATTTATTATTCGATTTATTTATTATGATAATATTGTACAATCTATCAACACTATATTAATTAATCATGAAAGGGAACAAAAAAAATAATGTTGTTTAGTACCCAATTATTGGGCATGCATGCATATAAAATATGTCTAGGTACTTTTCAGTTAGCTTGTCTATATAAAGTACTACTCTTTTAAATTTTCTATATTCATCCCTCCAAACCAAATCATCAATATCATTTTTATTATATTTTTTTTTTTCCTATTTTCATTCATTTCAAACGTTATTCATTTTGCTCTTAGCAATTAATTTCTAATATGTTACACCTTCAAAAGATAATGTTTATAGGAAAAAAATAAATGAAGTGAGATATGAATAGTGAAAATATAGGCATTCGCATGAATATAAATAAAGTATGTTTAAGCATAATGATAGTACTAAAATGTTACGAATCCCTACAGATAAAAAGGTAAGCTCTTTTATATCTTATATTTCACCTTTATACTAAAATCGCTAACGTATACGCACTCTAGAAAGAAACCTGTTGTCTCATTCTCCTTTGTATGTTTTTATTTTTTTCTTCTTTTCTTTTCTGTCTGTGTTCAATTTTAGCAGTATTATTATTATGTATGAGTGTATTACATTTAGACATTATTGTTAGGTAATCATCATCGGACATTGAATTTAAACTAACATCATCCTTACATAATAGAAAATTCAATAATATGTATTTTGTATGTAAAACTTATATTGTAATTATACCTGGTGTCTAATTCATATTTACATTCATTGTTAATAGATGGCATCACATTAAGAATGTATAAATAATAGTACATTGTTATACGTGTACTTTTGAAATGCATGCAATGATGACTCTTCTAAATTTTATTTTAACATTTTTATTCATAAGGAAGAAAGTGTAAGTTTTAACTGATAGCTATTATAAGAGCAATATTTTAATTTTTTATCAAATTTAAAGATTTTGAATACTTATTTAAGTTTTACTTTATATCTTATCATTTTTAAACTGCTCGTCATTGATAGTAAAGTTAATTTTCTCTTTGAACTGCCCGAATATTTTTGTGATAACCTCTAGTTCGTGATTTCGAAACCACAAAACTTCGTCTTGGTTGATTATTAGTAAGAAATTAATTAAAATTTAAAGCTAATTATGTTTTCTTATTTTGAAATTGATATTTTATTTGCTACAGCAACAAATCATATAATTTACTCTAGCATATTAAAAATTGCAAAACTTAATTAATTCCAATAGCTTTTTAAATATAATTGGATGAAAAATTGAAACTATTTAATCACACGATTTTTTTTGTTAAAAATGCGAAATTATTTTCTTATTTAAAATAAAATGTTGTGGGCTTGTGGGTAACTTCAATGCTTCCTCTTTTTAAGATTTAAAACTTAAAATGCATGCTTCACTTTGTTTTAAAATCGAAATATGGCTATCAAATTTTCATGTTAATTTTTATTATTTTACAAGAAAAAAATGAATTTTTTTTTGTGGCTCAATAAAAATAAATCAAAGATGATCAAACATGCTATCAAATTAAATTATTAATTTTTTGTTGAAAATTTGTTTATTATGTTTAATATTATATCTACAATTTTTAATATTAGAGTTACCAGATTCATTTGTAAAAAAATTAAATTTAGAGTTGCCAGAGTCCTTTGAAAAAAATTCTGAAATAATGAAATGAAATGAAATGTTTCTATAAAGGAAATTTTAAGAATACCTGTTAATTAATTCTCTTAGCTGTATTATTGGAATCAATGGATTTTCCCAAATTACTTATATGAATTAACTAAAAGCTTTATTCGCTAACTAGATATGATGACTCAGGAAATAGAATCTACTATAATTAAATAAATACATTTAAATAAATTTTGACTCTATTTTCGCTTTAATGCATACTAGGCATGAAAAATTATTCGATTCATTTGCTCTAAGGCATAGCGATTCGACTGCTTCTTACAGTAAGAGTGAAGAAAGATCGAAATATTTGATTGATTATTTAATTATTCTAGTTAACGTTTAACATTTTAAAATATTTTCTTTTTGTTATGCAGCCTTTACTGTGTTATGTTAAACATGGCGTTGGTAGAAAATGTACTTCCTTACAAAAAATTTAATTTAAAGTTAATAAATACCATTTTTGGTAACTACCATAAATAACTACATTAACAAAACTGATAATATACATTTATATGTATTTGGCATTTATATTGGGATAGTAGTTAGAATAATACAAAGTTGCCTTCAAAAATTATAGATTAAGGGATACGTGCAACAGTTTAACAAACAATTTTTTTAAATTAATTTGTTAAAGTAATTAAATTACAATGTTCTCAAGTTACAATACCATAAAAAAAGGTAACCTAATAAGGAATTTCCTGTATTCTCTTATAAAATCTAATATTTTTTCCAATCTTAAAATGGTCATGTATATGGTAAATTATTAAAATATTTGGGAATGATAATAAAAATTGTCCTCAATAATCTATTAAATTCATTTCGATTAAATAGTTATCAATATTTCCGGCTATATACTGATTAGCATTTTCTCATTAGAATAAAAAGCTTTGAAAATTTTAACTGCCCATGTAGACAAAACCTATATTACTCCAAAGATAAGATCTGTTATTGGTTCATACTCTATAGCCCCTAAATTTTAATTCTTTTTCGAATTTTTTCAATATTTTTAAAATTTTGATTAATGTCGATTTTGAATTGAAGGCTCTTCACGAATTTGTCTATGATGCACTATGGGTAAAATTTAATTGGTCTATCTATAGTTTAAAAAATTTCGAACGCTTGAATATAAATTCTAATTAACAAGCTTATTATTCAAGTACCACATCAGTTATCTACTTCTTATTAAATGTCAAATGCAGAAAAGTACCTTAATAACAGGAAATACCAAATCGAAATAATCAATTTCAGTTTTGTCTGCTTGGGTAAGAAAATTTAAAAATAATTTTATTTATTTTTTTAATTCAAACTAAAAAAATTTTTTATTTGTTGTCGTCAAAGTTTGTCTTTCATTTCGTTTTCATTTTGTACAGATTTTTTTTTAAATTTAAATTAATATTCATTATTATTCAATAATTTATGAATGAATGGTGTGAAATAAATGCACAATTGGTAGCAAGGTAGAAAAGTGTTAAAAATTTAAATTTTTATGACTTCATTATTATTTTTATTATTATTATTAGAGTTGTATAGTGTGACATGCATAAACTTAAATGGATCTATATAATAATATATTGGTATATAGAGCTTTCTTGTTTATTTTGTTAGAGACACCCACATTATTACCAGTTTTGTATGCATAGTTTTAAAATAGAATGCAAATATTTTCTAATATTGAAAATATTATTTATTATTCACAATCTATTATACATACATTTTATTTCGTAATTTATGTGGTGTACAACATAAGATGATAATCGATTTTAATACAAAAAAATGTTTCTTAAATTTACATTATGTCTTTATATTTTAAAATAATGGTATTGTCTTGTTAAAAAATATGTTTTAGTAACTTAGTTGAAATGGATTTGTTATGAAACTGTCACAATAATATTTTATTAGAGTTCATCGACTGTCATAGAATTATATATGTATTACAGTATAATAATATTAGTTCAAAATTCGAAAAAAATAATTTTATTTATTTTTTAGAAATATAATTTTTAGAAAAAATTATTATATTATAATAAAAGACGTTTTATTTGGTCTACCTTAAAGCGTTAAATTGCTTAATACATATTGAAACCATTCTAAGAACTGCCACTATTATAAATGCGCACCTTACAAATCAACTGTTATTTCTAAACTCTTTACAATAATTTATTTTCTAGCTTGAAAACTTAATTGATATCAATCAATGAAATTGTGTTAAAAACAATATACAGGATTTCCCATACAATAGCGTGGGGCTATACAAACTATTGTATAGTCCCTCGTGAGTAGACAAGATTATTGTATGTAGATGATGTTCAAAGCTCAACAGGTTCGAAATTACAGTATCGGACCTAAAGTCATTCTCGACTGATTGATTATATGATGCCAGTATGTAACACTGGCAGATATGGAAATTTTAGAATAAAGGATTTCTCATAAATATCTGCATTAGTTATAATCTTTTCAAATTTCGGCATCACATGATTTTAAAATTCGAAAAATTTAAAATTTTATTTTGTTCATCTTTAAAAAACGTCAATTTTCTCCGTCACGTAACATTGGAGCTTTCTTCAATTTTAGTACAGGTATATGACTAACCATGGTATCTGATCTGTCTTAGGTATTATGAAGAAAAATAGAGTACAACAAAATGTTATTTTGTAATAAATTCTTACAAAAATTTAGAACAACCATTCAAAATGGTGTCTCTCTTTTGTTACGCAAATGTTCAACTTAACAACCTAGTTTTGCAGGGATTAAAATAAGTAGAAATTTTTTTCTCTATTTAGAGGTTTAAATCTGAAATTAAAATAACAAATTGCTCATTGATTTCTTATTATTTGTATTGCAAGTTTCATTTTAATATTTGTGAATAATTTAAAAAATAAAAATATTTTTACATACATACATATTTAAATAATTTTTAACTTATATCATTATTTACTTATCTCTTCTAATTTTCATTTTCTACGCAATAGTCATTACTGTAATTTGGGATTTTCCCACAATTCAGAAGCAATTACAATAAGACTTTCCAACACCCTTGTACGTATATGTATGTGCATTTATGAATCGCCATATTTTGTACAATGTTTTTGAATTTTTCTTTTGTATAGAATTATGAAAAGCTTTTACAAATTCCGGTTGTCAAATAAAATTGAATTTTTATTATAATTTAATTATACAAATAAATTCAAAATTTTATGACTTAACTATAGAGTATAGATACATACAATTTAAACCTTAATTTATTCGTTCATTTTCAATAATTTTTGTGTATTTGATTTGTCTGTTTTTAGGGAATTTATAAAAAATAAACCGTAATGCATCTAAAGTTAAATAATATTAAGTTTTAATTTTTAGCGATCATTCGTTGGTGGTAGTATGCGTAATTTCAATAATATTTATGAGACATACATACATTTAATAGTATTTATGTTGAATATTCAATTAGCTAGTGTTTTAAACACATTTATCATTTTGCAACCGTGAATTTGAAAAAAAAAAATTTTAAGCAATTCTTCATATATATTGAAGAGTGTATTTGAAAAATTTCAATTATTTACAAATCTAAAGTCATATCATATAAAATTTAGTTTTTCGTACTCTTCTGATAATATAGTGTTGACTAGGGGCCCCTGTGGTTTGCTTATAAGCAGCATTATCTGTTGTAAGAACAGGATTGTGGCAATCAATTTTAAAATAAGTTTAGAAAAATTTGTACATATTATGGCATACATATGCAGGTATATTATTGTATATGCATA